CTATTGTTGTTCTACAGGTATTGTTGGAGTGTTATTGTTAAAAAAAAAAGTGTAAAGAAAAAGGAAAAGCAAAGCTTAAAAATTTGCAAAGCCAAAAAAAGGATACATGCAAAAGCAAAAAAAAAAAAAAGAGAAGTCAAAAGGGGGGTAATAACTTGTGAGATTATTAACTCATTGTCATTATGTTATGGACAAAAACATGAACTTTGAAACCTAACTTGAGGAATTGTTAATCAAGAATCATTCATGTGAGTTGAATTTCTCAAATATTTTTCTATATCCCAGAAAAACCAACAATTCTTTCTTAGCTCAGCCCCATTACAAGCCTCAAAAGACCTTTTGATTTAAGTCTTGTTTAACAATTGTTGATTGCTTGAAGATGATTATCAATATTGGATTGTCTAAATGAAGTGATTGAATGAGATAAACACTTACCTGTGAGAATTAGAGATGAGTATATATAACTCTATTTGAGAGATCATGCTTCTCTGAGGATAGTTGAGGACTAATTATTCTTTGTTGATTTCTATAACTTGAATGCTTATGTGTTCTATTTTCATTTGGATTTGTGAGCATCACCCCTTAAAGTTTTTATGTTGTGGTTCTAGAAGAGAAAGAGATAATAGGTGATGATTTTGTTTTGGAAAAATTACTTTGCTTGGGACAAACAAGATTCTAGGTTGGGGGGAGTTGTTAAGTGGTAAAAAGTTGATATAATTATGCCTTAAATTGTTATGAAACCACTTAACTTATGTTAATTCTAATATATTTTTCTCCCAATATAGGATGAATTCGAGAATACCTTGATACAAGAGTAAGGAGCATAATTGTTAGCATAATTAGAGTAAAATTGAAAGAAAGAAGAGCGCTTAAGCTAATGAATGATGCGAGACCCGACCCAAATTCTCTTATAAAAAGATAAGTTGTGTTTTGAGAAAAACAAGCAGTCTTGGAGGAGAGGAGGCACGACTACTGTTAGGGTTTTGTCTAATCTTCATCAATTCTTCACTTCTTCATCAATTAGAGCATTGTAATGGCCAACATGAGTGGCTAACTTCATTCTCTTAGGATTCAGTGCACTTCCTTTGAACTCTTTTGTATCATGGTGATATTTTGAGATATTAATCTATGCTTTGATGTTGTTATTCTTATCCTTTATGCTTTGGAATGATTTATTCTTGATTGTTTGAGGTATGATTGGAAAATATATCTTGAACCCTAGATCACGGTAAGAATATCTGTTACATTAATTGTCAGGAATGGAATGAATGTATCAATTGCTTAAACACCCTAAACCTAATGCTGGAAAATCTCTTAATTGTGTGAGGAATCAACATTAATTAGGTTCTTTTATGAATTTCATGTGTGAGGAATCAACATGGATGATTTGAGTAGGTGACATCAACATTGTTAGGTTAATTGACGTTCTTAATTGACATAACCATTACAAAAGATGGATAAGGAAGGAAGTCAATGCTAAGTACCTTTAATTGATATTTTCTCAACAATTTACAGTTCTTTGTCATTTAATTTCAATTCAACTCTTTATGCAAAACTCATTTTGTTTTAATCTACTTAGTAAGCATAAAATTGGGAATTTCCATTGAAACTGTTCCTCGTGGGATCGACTTTTATTCTATCGAAATACTATACTGCAATTGATAATTTTGGTACGTTTGCCAATAATTCAATATTATTATATAATTAATATCGTCCACTTTTATTTTGAAGAAGATTTTTTCATGTTTGAATGTTATTAGAGTAGACTTTGATATCATATTATAAATAGTATGATATCTAACTTAACCCTACAAAATTAGGTCAATATGGTAAAGATTATATTCACCTATATACTATAATGTCGTTGTTTCTCTAATTAATGTGGATTTCATCACACACTTTTATTTTGAGGAGAAATTTTTCATGTTCCACCAACGCTAAAGTAAACTCGTATACTAGAAATTATAAGATACTTAATTCAACCTTACAAAATGGGTTTAGTAAGATAAAAATTATACTTATTTATATATTATATTATCCTATATCTAATCGATGTTATATTTCATCACACCTCCTCAGCATGAGGAAGATTTTTCATAATACCCTCCCCTCCAATAAAATTTTTCATGATCTTCTTCTTTAATTTAAAAGATATCATTATCTATTATATTTTTAATGAAATAATATTTATGTAGTATTTTAAAGAAAAAAATATTTTTTTTCTTATTTTATTTAAAATAACATATTAATTAAAACTCAAATATAATATTATAAAATAAAGTTTTAAATTATAAATTTTAAAAGTTTAGAGTTTTATGTCTCATTCTCTTTTAATTAATTATATAATTTAAGAGATAAAAGTTAATATAGAAGTTTTTATCTATGATATATTATATATATTATTTAGTTATAATAACCTAGTATAATAAGATATTATATATACAAATTAAAAACAATTAAGATAACATAAACTTATATAATAACATGAATATAAAAGGTTCACCAAACATCTTTACAATATTCAATCCTCGTTATTACTATCAACACTTTAATCCAGACTTATATATATATATATATATATATATATATATATATATATATATATATATATATATATATATATATATATATATATATAAACATCTTCAAAAAAAAAAAATCAACACAAATACATAGAATTTGCAGTATGGGATGAAGTTTGACAAAATTATGTGATTTGTGGGCTCCTCATTCTTCAAAAGTTGAAGACTTCTCTTCGTGCTGAAATTCACTCATACTCCACTCGCTAAGGATTCTCATGCGGACATGTCTTTCGTGTTACCTTTCTTAGATCATTTTTCTATTTTTATAAGGAAAAAGATTAGTGGACACTGAATACTAACCTCTAATGTACCTAAAGAAAAATATACCAAATATTATAAATCAATAAATGTTACAATATTATAATAATAATAATAATAATAATAATAATAATAATAATAATAAATATTAGTAAACTAATGTAAGTGTCAACATTTGTCATCACTCTTTTTATAACCTGCACACCAAGATTAAGTCAAGCGATTTGAAAGTTCAGACAAAGATGATAGCATTTTAATAATGTAACAGACAGACATATATATATATATATATATATATATATATATATATATATATATATATATATATATATATATATATATATATATATATATATATATATGCATAACTCACCACTAAACTCATATTTTTCAAACATGAGTTCATATCATACTTTTGGATTGAAACTTTCCTTTGCAAACTAGACTTTCTTTGATACTAAAAAAAATTCAACGGTAAACAAGGTAATAAATGGGTAGTGGTAGGGGTGGATATTTGGTTTGAGCACTCTTCATCATAACCAGAAATTACCTTTTTGATGTGTTTATTGTGCAAACAATTGACTTGGAAATTTTTACCCCCGAAAGTTGTCATATCATTTAACCAAATAGGACCCTCAATTGAATAATTTGAGTTGAAAAAAATGACCCCTTAATTAGCTTTTATGTCACACACTTCATTGGAGATGGCCCATAAGTATCCCTTTCAATGGAGGAGGCCATCATTGCCTTTGGAGCCTCTATCCTCTTAGAGACAAACTTTAATTATCCACGCAAGCCAAGGGCCCATCCTTATAAACAAGGCGTTAAATGAATTAACTGTAATAATTGTTGGGTCAACCACCCTAATTACAACATAGGTTTCACGTGTCTGTTGTCAAGTTGTGCTACGCTATATAGGTCATTTTTAAGACACCCTACCACCTAAAGACTCGTATTCGTCCCTAATGGAAAGGTTATAATGTTGGGTTTAGTCAACAATCAAACAAAATAGCATTTTGTGCCAAATTTATAAAGTTCTACAACCCAAATTGCCATGCACATAATTATTGTGTCTTTTTCCTCAAAACCAATCATACCCCATCATATATATCATCACATATTCCTCACAAAAGATGGTGTTGAAAATGATTGCCATATTCGTGAAACCCTTTTCTAAATCGCACTGTTTAATATTCCAATGCCCTTGCTTTTTCCATTTGTTTATGCATCTAATCTTCCCACTCTTTTCTTGATCACTGAATCTGATTCTTTTCAAGTATTGTTTATCAACAGAAACGATACAACAACCGATTGAGCAATTTCTGCTTGCTTTAGAGACATATATGTGCACACACTCACTCCTTTCTTAGTACCTCTTCTCTTGTTTATGGAAAATGGTAGCACAAAATTGACAACTTTTTCCTCAAAGAAATAAGGTTGCAAAATTGGGACAATATGACCCCATAAAAGCAAAGTTCCCAAACCTTACACAATGTTCAGCTTCATGTGTCAAGTAATTTGCTTGCCTCTAAATGTCTCCATTCCCTATTTATCCTCGTCAAACGCTATTTTTTTTTCCTCTTGGTCCCCCTTAAGCCAATCAACCCGTGAGCTTGTGGTCCCATAGCCAAGTCGATTCAAATGTGTTCATTGAAGTAAGCAATGCACTTCACCCATCAATAAATCATATGTAGTAGGAATTGCCCAAAATACATCCCAATCAATATCCCTGTCTCACCGCACAAGTAAAAATAATTATTCAAATCCACTTCCCCTATTTTGGGGACTACCCCAAAGATTTATCCATCCAAAAATTTTAGGGACTTTCCCACCACTTGTTGATAGAACTTGCACAACCTAAACAATTTTAGCTTGCACACGAAGGAAAACTACACTAATTGAAATCATGCCGAGACAAGACCCACCTACAGATTTGTCCATTAGAACATTGAAGCGAGATCAATTCGATTGTACAAGAGGAGAAACTGATAATTCACATTACGCTGTGGCAATATATTACAATCAGAAACATGAAGGGCATGTTCCACAACTTTTTAACTCCACCCCATTCTTTTCTTTTATCCCCACAATCCTATTTTCATCATCCCACTTAATTATACCGAAGTAAAGCACATATATCTATCTATCTATCTATCTATCTCAGTTGTGACGGTGATGGACACACTCAGCTGGCGTGACAGGGAACCTAGCAGTGTCAGAGCAATAGTCATAGAAGATGTGTCTGGCTCTAACCCACATAAGCTGGTGGCTCTGGTGCAAGTTGAGTTCAGCCAAAGTTGGCTCGTCCCACCAATACTTCTTACCCTCACCGCTGGTACACTTTTTAGTGTTATCCATTGCAGCCACTGACACAGGACATTCACAGGCATTGATTTCGAAGTTCTTATAGGTGGCAAAGAATGGTGCGTGGCTCCAATCCGTCTTCACACGACCACCCTGCGTGGCCCAATCGTCGGCATTCCATATAGAACTGTAAACACCCATGGGTTGGTCTTTGGGAAATGGAATTCCCTTGTGCTCCATGTTTGTGTGCACCCTTATTGGCGTTTCATCCACCAAAAACCTGATCATGTGAAAAACATATAGAACATTAAGTTTTAACCAAATCTATTGGGTCAATTTTATTCCATTTATATTTGTATGTACCCCATGCAAAATTAAAGATGCGCATGGTAACATATGTACGCACCCATGAATTGTCCAAGATTCCCTTTCTTTTTCTCATGGGTTTGTTTTTGTGCAGTGTAACCCCCCAATGGGTACACTGTGAAAGCAAGTCTATGATGGCTCAACCACCGTGGAGGAAAAGCACGCAATTTCAAGTTTTCTTTACAGCTTTATCCTGACCCTTTGTGAAGCATTATTCCCTCTCTCTAGTTAACTTTTTTTTTTTTTAATGCAGAACTTTACCGGTGGTTGTTATTATTATATATAACAGTAACGTTGCATTTGCGATTTTAACTTTTATGCAATGTATAACAATTAAGAAGGGGAATGGGTGCTTACACAACTTGACGTTGATTCCAGAAGATAGAATATGAGTGGAAATCCTTGGTGGGATCGAACCAAAGGTTAAGCCTCTGTTCCCTGTTGCCCACTCCGTTCACATACACGTTAGTTTGGACTGAGTACGGTTCCCCTGTGGTGTTGCCCAGAAACTCAAAATCAAACTCGTTGTGGTTTGGACCCTCCGATGACATCTGCGTCACATCAATTAATCACCATGTCAGACTCATTCAGATTCCGCAATAATTGAAAAAAAAAAAAAGAGAGAGTGGAAAGTAAGTTTATCCACAGAATAAAATCTGGATCACAAAGACTATTTGATCGTGGTGAAAATAAAGTCCCCCCCAGCGGAATTCAACCCAGAATTTGTCGGAGACAAAAGTAATGAATGCGAATATTAATTGGATGGAAAGTAAATCACGAGAGTAAACTGTAGTAGGTAGCTGCCACTAATAGGTGAGTTATTAGTCTTTCCATGGATTCCAAAAAGAAAACACTTTTTGCACGTAGAAAAACGTTGTTTACACTGATTTAAATTGTATGCATTGATTGAGGTCCCAGAGGTAGAGCATCTCCATAGATGACTAATGAGTGAAGAGTTAACGCCACATAGACAAGGTAGTAGTATTTATAATTAGTTTATTAATATGTTAATACTAGCAATCAACATGCCATAACAAGAAAATTAATAAAGAATAATTTATTCACTTACATAGAAAGCAGTGACAGTCCCGGCAGAGTCACCCTCCACCAGCTTAAGCTGGATGGTCACTTTCCCAAACATATACTTGCTTTTGGATCCAAAACCAGCCCCTGAAAATGTCCAACTCGATATTAATGACACAAAACAAACATTTTTTCTCAACCAGGAAACACCATAATGTCAATATTAGATTCATTACGGGGGTCAATACGTCAAGGATCATGACTAAAAGACTAACAAAACAAAGACAATGTTTGAGGATGTTAAAAGGAAACAAAAGAACGGTGGTTTTACCGGAATAATTGTCAAGTTTGAGTTTGAGGAGATCTCCTTCATGAACGAAGTGATCAAGAGCCCAACTTGGTTGGAAAAGTTGATCAAAGTTGGAGGTGGAAGGCACAGCATTAGCCACCCCCACAACCAACATAAGACCCACGAACAATCCTAAGGAGCGAAACATCCTTAAAAGGGAACAGAAAAAGTATGGGGAGAGCAGAGTGAAGGTTCTGAAAACGCTGAGTGGAGAAGAGAGTGGGAAGGAAGGAGGGTTTTATAGCGGAAATGTGTTTGAAGTGGCTTGCGAGATAAGCTCTTGTTTCATTCCCAACGTACACATGATGGAGGAGTGTGCCACATCAGCTTGCCAGGGTGGATTTCAAATACCAAGAAAAAGACATAAAGATGATGTGGTGCTTGGCAAATGGTGCCGTTACTATGCAATTAACAGCTGGCAAAAGCTGTTCACTCTTCAAGCTCCACTGGGCACCCACTACACTGTCACACCGTTTTCTTTAATCAATTTCATAAACCCTTGCCACCATGGAGTGGTAACCAACATTGTTATAGTCTATAACAAACAAATGAGACTAATGAGGAAGATTTGAATGGGGAAGACGTGAAATGGGAGTGTATTAATTTATCATAAATGGCCTAGAGAGTGGTGCAGTGCAATAAAATGATGCAGTGTTGTTGGATGGATAAAGAAGGTGATGGTGGCGATCCAGCTGTCATTGGTAGTACAAGTTTGAAAAGCTCTGCCATGCACCTTTGCAAGCTTCTCCTTCGACAATTCATGGCAGCATCGCAAGCACAGCCAGTACACAACACTCGCTTTGTTACAATCTTGGGGCACCCCTTGTCGCGTCTTCCGAGCTGATAAAACTGTCTTGTAGATATTTTGTAAAGCATATCTACTTCTGTACATTCATCTATCATTGCTATTAAAATTACACAAAATACAAAGAGGAAAAACGTGGTGGTTCAAATTTACATACGTAGCGCTTGTGGTTTTCACCATGTTTTTGTTTGTGTCTGGATGTTGCCATTGCTGACGGCGTTTCCAGCTGGAGTGTACGAAAAACGCACTTCGTAATTTTAAATCATGATATCGTCGTAATCTCGTGTAACGATAATAATATTCGTTCAACAATTCTTTCCCAATTACCCATTATACACTTGAAAATTCCTGGGAATTAGATTCCAATTATTTTATTTTATTTTATTTTTAAATAATTACTTTTTAAAAAATTATTAGATATGTGTAATCTAAAAATGCCCATTTTGCAACTTTTTCAACCCACTTTTTCACTGTCCTACCAAAAATCCACTTTATCTCGTAAAATAACCAATATAAAATAATGTGTATAAATTTATATTAATATGTGAGTATAGAAGAATAAATATTATGTTGAAAAAGTTAACTTATTGGGGATGGGGAAGTGCGATTGGCACAGTCTGAAATTGCAGAAAAAAAAAACATTTTCTCTCAATTTTATAATCCAAAATACTGTCCCCCTCACCCCAACCCATCTTCATTAATCTACGAATAGAACCTCATATTTTTTTTTTTTCTGATTTTGGATTTTTCTACATGGCAAATATGGATCCACGTGAATGCCATATTCTATTTGAAAAATATTTTAAAAATATTAATTTATTAAAAAGCATTTATAAATAGTAATAATACATAACTCAATTGATAAGTATGTGCTTTTGCCAAGGCCGTAGTGTACAATAATTGTACGGTCTGAGTTGCTCAAATCCATAAACAAAACGTTCACTTTAACGTTACTATTCACAACTTCCATTTCCAACACAATTCACTTTTTACATTATTTCAATAGATCTGTCAAAAATTACCGTAACTTTGTACCATTCCTTTATCACAAATTGCTAAAATTAAGACCCTCTTAGATAATTATTGTACAAGCTCAAAATTCCACTTGTGCCTACCCCAATGAAATGATTTTGTTTCATTGAAGTAAAAAAAATACCAAAAAAATGAAACCTTTTGAAAACAAGACAATTTCAAATCATTTACAAAATTGAGATGAGGGAGTTATTATTACCCGAGGGGTGTTTTGAGTTTTCACCAAGAGTGAATGCGAGTCCAATGTGGCATTGATGGTTTCTTGTAGCATATGAGTGTTGGTTTGTGAAAGTGTGCATGGGAGGTGAGAAGAACAGGAGTGAAAATATTAATTATTGGTGATGTAGAGAGGAGAGGAAGAAGGCAATGAATGCAAAAATTTGCAAATTTTTGTGAGAAGAGGGTAAGGGGTCCACTTTTAATTTTACTTGTGGGAATAAGTTTTCTTTTTCAGCGTTCACTGCTGTACTGTACTGTGGTGTACTGTCTTCCCTATCACGCCAGCACTGCATAATTCAGTTGGTTTCTTCTGCAGAAAATTATCAGACTTTCAACTTAATGCCATCATTTTCTTTTTCTTTCCTATTTATGGCCTTATGTAAGTCTGTATTGCTACATTTTACTCATAAAATTGTAAGATTTTGTTTTTATTTGATTTACCACCATATGTTATTCACACCAGATATATCTACATTGGAGTCTTTTCTGTCAGATTTTCCTTTAATTTAAGGATCGTTTTAGTAAGATCTCGGAGTTGAAAAAAGGTAGTAGCATATTTCCAATGGCCATGAAGATTAAATGCGAGGAAATTAGATTAAGGAAAATAATATTCTAATAAAAGATCTAAGTCGTAGCTGTTGTTGAAGTCAAAGAGACTTGAAAATAAGATGGATTCACTCAGAACCTGATGAACATTATTGATTAGAAGCACTATCAATCTAAACAATATCTTAAATTATCACGGGCATCAACATGACTAATCTAAGTTTGGCTTTTAAGTCAAAGAAGAAGGCATAAAAAATTTAAAATTGTTTATCCCGTGCAGCATAGTTATATATCTCTTACTTTTTGTTGTATGGCTAGACATGTAATATCAAATGAAGAAATAATGTTCATCTAAGATCTCAAGGACTATGCAGTAAAAATTGAAGAAGTTTTAATACTGTCAATGAGGTTAAATTTAATATTTTAATAATTAAGTTAATTATAAATAAAAAGGTATTATTTATATAAAATAGTTATCTCTTTAAAATTTATTTATTTTTATCTATTTTTTAAGGGTTTTTTTTTCTTTCACACTTTTATCAATTTTTTTCAAGCATGTCTTATTACTTGGGAATAGGGGTATCAATATGGGTTCTAACCCATAAGTCAACCTGACTCACTACGGGTTCGAGTTTGGTTGAGTTCGATTTTTTTATTTTTACCGATTATGGGTTAAAAATGAACCCGACTTACTTAATCCACGAATTAAATGGGTTCGAGCTGAGTTATGGTGGGTTGGCCCGCAACCCACCATTAATTTTAAATTTTAAAAATAATTATAATAATATACTAACTCTAATTAATCATTTATTTTAAATTTTAAAAATAATTATAATACTTTAGTAACCCTAATTGATGATATACTGCCTCACCTGAACCCTACATTGATGATATCCTGTCTCACCTGAACCCTACATTGTTGGTTGCCGCCGCAAGTCAAATCCTCACTCAAACTTATTATTAGTTTTATGTTGTACCACTATGTTTGCTGCTGCACTTGAGTCACTTGTTTTATCATCTGTCCACCGCATCACTACACCACAATGTTCACCGTATTGTTTTCAAAATATAAGAATTTGTATCATAACCTAAACGATTGAATTGATGAATATTTATTTGAAAATTGTAACATCTATACATTATTTCTTGTTTGTTATTAACTTATAAGTATATCTCTTTAATATATGAATTTTTGACTTCTTTCTTTCAAATTAATTTACGAGTATGAAATTTGAAACAATACATTAAAGTGTTAATGTAAATTATATTGGTGATGATTTTATTATTAATGAAAAACCCAATGAGTCAATTTCGGTTAATAACAAATATATTTATGTTGAGAAAGAAAGGAAGAAAACAAAAGTTTCTACATCCGAAGTTTCTATATTATTTAAAAAATTAAAAAAATATGGGTTAGTGAGTCAATCCACCAACTTGTGGTGGGTTGAGCCGGGTTGTAAAATTTTGGCTCACCAAAAAGTAAGCCGGGTTGATCTCACCTATTTTCAGTTCAACCCGTGATGGGTTGAGCCGAGTTGTAAAATTTCTAGCTCGTCAAAAAGTGAATCAGACTAAGCTCACATAGTTTCAACTCAACCTGAAACTCAACCTGTGATGAGTCAACCCGTGTAAGCCGAATTTGCTCACTTTTACACCTTACTATCAATTCCATCTTATTATAAGTAAGAATAAAGTAACTCTCCTTTACTATGTTTTGAGTATTTTAGATGTAGGATTAGGATTTTGAATGCGGGGTCATGACTATTAAATACATAAATTGTTTGAAAAAAATAATCTTAACTGTAGTCTAAGAATATAATCACATATTCACTATTTTTTAAGGATTTTCTTAAAAGAATTAACTATAAGGTGAGGGGAAGTAGTTTTTTTTTTTTTTTTTGTTAATTCCATTGAGCTCTAAGTTAAAAGACTTGAATATGATAAAGTGATTTGTTTTGGATGAAATTCTAGAAAGATTGTAAAATTATGTTAAATACAATTTTAGTGGATTATTTGTGTCCAATAAAATTGACATGGGAATGTGATTAGGTTCGCAAAATATATAGTATATTAATATATATGGTTGTTAGGGTGAAATTGAATTATTAGCTTACCTTTATTTATGTTGTTCGTCTATTTGTAATAATTCTATATCTACATAATAGTAGATAATGCATGTGTTAAATTTAAGTAAAATAAATATAAAACTATAATTAAAAAGATTTTTAATTTATTGATTTTATTTAGAAAATTCCTATATGTATATTATTTTATTATTTTTTTGATTAATTTTTTTAATAGATAAAATCAATAATATTTTTTTCTAACATAACATAATATTTAGTATAATTAAAAAAACACATATATATTTTCATAATATATGGAAGAGAAAAAAGATGTACTTAACAAGGATTGTCAAGCTAATGAACCAAAAATTCACATTGTACAAGGACCGGAATTGATTGTTGGTATCATTGTGAAATTTTTATCAATAGATAAGCTATGATAGTTTTTAATCTCGAAGTTAGTCTTACTTTTGGTGAATTTATATCTAATCTGTTTAAACTTTTCTTTAAAGCAAAAAGATAACATGTATTCTTTGACTTTAACCAATTGAAGATGGAAAAGGTAACTTTGGAGACAATCAACAATGACAAATTGATGGCAAATACTGAAAGGGTCGTGAGATAGTAATTACTAAGATTAGGTTTGATTGAGAACAAGTTGTTACCAGATTGACCTAAACAAACTAAATAATAGTGTACAACATACAATTTTAAAACCTTTTTTTTTTTTTAAGATTTGTATGATTTTAATAATTTTTATATTTAAACTTAATACTTATGACACCCCCCCCCCTATGTTAAATTAAACATTTGAACTTAAACACGTGTAAATAAAAGATTATAAATGAAAATAATTAATCCAAAGTTTTTCACTAATAAATTATATGAAATGGAAAGAGAATAGGAAATGTTGTAGATTGAATTTGGTTGGAAATAAAGGAGAATCTACCTTGTTCACACATCATATGCAAACAAATAGGTGAGCCAAATCAGTCTCCATCATCACTCACGGACACGTACAAATGGCAATTCAGAAGGAAACGGTGAATTAAGATTTTTGGCTGTTGCTACTTCCTCCCTTGTCTTTTTTCTACGATGCTCAACCACGTACAAATCTTTGTACTCTCTACGCACTTAAATGTATGATAAAACTCGTGGCTGTTCAGTAAATAAAAA